AAGCGAGTGACGGTATGTGTTCGCTCACTTCCCGATCTATTGAGCCGAAGTGTGACAGTTTCATTGTCACACGTCGGCTCGAACTACGAGGCTGAGTGATTTTCACTCACCTCATAGGTCTCCTTTAAGTGGTCACATTATAACCACACTTCCAATATTCACCTCATACATGATCTGAACTTAAAGTCTATGTTTGGGCAGATTTAAAATAAATAAATAAATCCAGTATATCTCTGTTTCAGATGCACATTTCCCCACGTTTTACCTTTTTTTTAAAACACAGAAAAATACCTGTTGATCTGCCAGAAATCCAGTGTGCTTCTAACTTCCTGCTCAGGCATGGAAATCCTAACCAGTGTTGTCAGCCCTGTCTGCTGGGGTACAGGACACTGCCCATCCCCAGCCCAGCTTGTCCCTTTATACTTTTCCATATGCGTGAACTGATTTTATTCCCAGCAAAACAATGCTGATACATTGCCAAAAGCCTGCAATACACACTGTGTGTAGGGAAATGGCTCGTGAGAGATGTAGCTCTGGGCACATGCCTGCATCAAAAGGAGCTAAACTCCCAGCAGCTGCCACCACAAGAATATTAAAAGCCTCATGATGATGTGAGAGGGTGTAATAAAAGCTGTTTCTTGTAACAAGAACAATGTAAAAGGAAAAGGAATGCTGGGATATGCTTTAAAGTGGGAGAAAGAGGTTTGTGTAATGTCTGTACATACCCTATCAGAACTATTTTAGACTAGCTTTGACCAAGAATTGACTTTTTTTTAAAACTTTTCCATCAAATGGTTTGGTTATCTGTAGATTTTGTTGTGGTATACTATTTCATACAAAATCAATTAAACAACATAAATGGTACCATTGATCTGCAACAAGCATATAGGCAGTGTATGGACTCCTCATAGTGGTAAGGGAAGTATGAAGGATAGGGGTGATGGGCCTAGATCTTCAAAAACAAAAAAGCAGTCCGAAACACCCACTTTTCTGTCCCAATTCTGTATTTTTAAATGGGCAAGGAAGCTTTTGTTCTGCCTGCTGTTTTTGTATTTTATACTTTGTAGCAGTCTTATTTTCTATTTCAATATGTTATACATTTAAAGATTGTTGCCTAATTGTTTCATGCCTCAGTATGAAACGGAAACCAGCACCTTTAAGGTACAATCAGGGGCATTACACCCTGCAATTAACCACCATGGTGCAAAGCCACAATCCACCTTCCAGTGCCACGCGTGTCGGAATCCTCTGGCAGTCGCTGGCCAGCTAAATTAGGACCCCACCTGGAGCTCCTCCCACTGGACCAGCGCTGACTCGCCGCTGCTCTCCCGCGCCGCTCGCCGCTGCTCTCCCTCACCGAAGGTAAGTGGAAAAAAAACAAAAAACATAGCGCAAACATCGGGGCATTTTGACAAGTACATTACTCGTCAAAATGCCCTGTTTTTTCCGCCCTCACCCTGCAGCGCTGTAAGGCGGCCGCCTGACTTGCCTTGCGGTAGCGCCGGGCCTGCTTCCAAGGATGCACACCAGTTTACAGCAGGATTGTAGAACACACGAAATCTCCTCCGAATGTATCTTTATTTCATACTGTAAAATCCATAAAAGCAACACCTGCCTACATGTTTCAAATCCCTGGGCTTTGACCAGGCCAGTCCATTCCATTTGTTATTTTTGAGCCAGATTGTGCTACAGATGAGGGAATATTTGTAGTTCAAATCAGGAAAGCAGCCTAGGCTGACAAAGTTCCTCTTTTATGGATACAGCATGTTGAGTTAGCCTTGTCACCCTAGTGTGTCAGTAGTAGTAGTAGCAGCGTGTCAGTGGCAGGAGAAAAGCCTGAAACAAGAAAACTAATGCAAGCAGCAGATGTAAGGACTGGTAAGCTGCAATATATTACATTTTGTGTTTAAATAAGCTTTAAGAATCTTTGGTCTGGTGTATATAAATATATTCTCTATTATCTCTACTACAATACATCTTAAAAAAAGAGAATGATATGTAAAACAAAGGAGGGATTTCAAAACTTGTTCCTTTTGCAAAAACAGAATACATATGTATCCTCAGCTGACAGGCTGATACTCAGCAAAGAAGGCACAGAACTTTCAATGTGGCCAACGTTGGACAAAACTATGCAGGACTCACCAAAACAGCAAATTACGAGTGCCCTTTTTAAAGGATTGAAAATATCATATTGTGTAAAACACACTATGTACATCAGGGATAGGCAACCTCCAGCTGTGCTGAAGCTACAAATCCCACCGTGCCTCTGCCTCTGGGGTCATGCCTGTGGCTGTCAGAGTCTTGCAAGTGTAGTCTGTAGGCTTGTCTCAGACAGCCTATAATGCCTCAGAGCTACTAATCACATGTTCCCTTTTGTTCTTGCATACTGCATAAGGAGTGTCTGTTTGGTTACTGCGTTACAAGACTGTTGGAGACAAGGCGTGCTGTGATTTTCTCTTTCCTGTACTAACTTTCTTATTTTATCATTTTATATGCATGCCCAGACTTGTTTTTTTGTCTTCACCTCTGTTTTGGTTTGTGTTTTCATTTACCAAAATGTAAAAAACAGATCAACCAAAGAACCAACACTGGCATGTACCTAATTTTATCATGAAACAATAGGCAACTACTAATAAGAAATTACCTTTTTTTATGCTGGCTATAAAAAAATATAGATGCAAGTCATTTTTAAATATTTACCCTTTTCTTAGCAACAGTATTAGGTAAAGGTATATAGATATACAGTGGTACCTCAGTTCACAAACTTAATTCGTTCCGTGATTCTGGTCGCAAACTAATTTGGTTGTGAACAGAATCAAACTGTGATCAAACCGCGATCTCGTCTAGAGGAAGCCATGACCATGTGTCAGAGCAGGGAAAATGGCTGCGGTTGTGTTCGTCACCCAAAGCGGAGTTCGCAAACGGAAGCAACATTTTGCCGAACTTCCTGTTCGTGAACAGAAGAGTTCGTGAACTGAGGTAACACTGTATAAATCATACTTAAAGCTGTACTCCAGGAAAATAGTTAAAGCAGAAGTCCGGGGAAAAGATTCTTAATCCTTGCATTGGGGCTTCCCCTGCACTGCAAAGGGTTAAGTGCTCTCACCTGATCTTCAGAGTCAGCCGGCTCTTAGACCAGTGATTTCCGCCTCTCTCCCCCTCCACTGCAGTGATCTAGGGATCCTCGAGTCATCTCGTTCTATACCCTGGGGGGGAGGGGGGATTTATCAAAACTGGAGCAGACAAAATCTGGAGCAGCTGTGCATGGCAACCAATCAGCTTCTCTCGTCAGTTTGTTCAGTTAAGCTTTGGAAATTAAAGGTGGATGCTGATTGGTTGCCATACACAGCTGCTCCAGATTTTGTCTGCTCCAGACTTGATAAATTCCCCTCACTGTGTATAGGGTGTGAGGATGCCGAGGGACACACCATCGCTACAGCAGAGGAGGAGAAAGGGTAAAGGGAGTGCTGTCACAGCTGGCCGCATCCGAGGTATTTGTTTTTTTAACCTAGACACAAACAAGCACTTAACCCTCACAGTGTGGGGGTGGCCCCACTGCAAGGGTTAAGACTTTTTCCATGGAGTTCCTCTTTAAAAGTGCATTTTAAATATATATGAAAGGCAGGTTGATCTGCCAAAGAATTTGTATTTTTGTCTATTCTGAGAGTTACACAGCCCTGCTAGACTGGCCAGCCAGGCTAGAATTTCTACTCTGTAGTTAAGTAACACAGTTAGGTCACCTTCCTGCCTCCAACTTGGGAGCAGCAGCAGTTCAATACTCTGCTCATACTGCTCCCTCATCTGTCAGCATGTTCCTTGTTAATGCAGGTGTTTGCAGCCGAGCCTGGTTGCCCCCTAGTTCTGCCTCTCCCTCTACCAGTCCGAGGCTAATACCAAGACAAATGCAAGCATATTAGCCACATTTAGGAATACCCTTCATTGGGGTGGGTTTTTTTTATATCTGATTGGAGTTCAGCTTTTAATAAGCTTTAAAATGAAGAGATTCAAGTTATAGCACCAAAACGTTTTGTTTTTTTTTTCATTTTTTTAATATCTATTAAAAAGCATTTAACTTTATCAAGAGATGCCAATTACAAAACATTTGATCAAAAGGTTTTTTTCTCTCTCTTAATAATACTAAAAGCAGCCCCTCCCTAATTACACAACTAGAAGACTACCATATTCCAGTTCAAAGTGCAAAGGAGAGTGATTCTTCATACAGGTTCTACATCAGAACATAATTAATGTGCTTTTCAAGGCAAGGAATTGACCTTCCTTCTCATAAAGGCATAAACAGGGTTTAATTCCTTCATTCTTCACCAAAGACCATTCTTGTTAAAATGTCTTAACAACATGTCTCCTCTTAGGACACAAAATAAATAATTTAATGGATATTTCAATTATGAAATATTGATGCTATGCATCTTGACAATTTTGCTTCATAAACAGTCTTTAGTTAAAGGTCTTACAATAAAACATAGTTCTGTTGGATCAAGCTTGTTGATATGGATTAGGAATATGTTTTAGGGGGCCTTCACCACCGGCGATTACATAACAGCTGTGTCAAGTTCATTGTCAGCACCAGTTAGCAAAAAAAGAAAGGGCCTCATTCTTCATGTTTCACGTTTTAGACAGTCTTTCCATGGATTCATCCCTTCACAGAAGAATCCATATCAAACCAGGCAATTACAATTAAGTTCACCGCGTTTTTGAGGCATCTATTTAAAAGGAAAAGAATTATACCCTTGGTGTCCCATGAACATTCATTTTCTTCTAAAAGAGTGCTTTTTGGAAACGTTAAGGATTCTCAAACATCTCCTGAAGTTGTAGGAGACCATGAGATGTTACACTGCTAATATGCCATTGAGTAAGAATTCAAAAAGTTGTTGATTTGACAAATATGGGACTGAAAAGTCCAAGGAATGGAAATGATCCATGAATAGCGCCTCTGCGAGACGTTCTTTACTCCTGTTTTTGAGGGGTTTTTTTTTGTGCATAGTTCATTGCCTCTCATCATTTGTATTAGAAGATGGGTTTTCCTGGAAGAACTTGGTGCTCTCTGGTAGCGTGGCACGAACTTTCCGCTTCTCCTTAAAACGTCCAGAGCGAGAAATCTTCAAGTTCCTTCGGCCAGTGTGCGCGCCAATTGATTTATCTGACTTGGCATCACTACTAGATTCTGTAGTTCCACTAGGAATGGAATTAGGATGTTGGTTTTCTCTAGAGCCACTACTGACGCCCCATGATTTGTCCTCAGAACTTTCAGAAGTACTATAGACAGAAATCTCCTTGGGCTTTTTACGAACAGTCAGTGATTTCCACCAATTATTGGGGTTACTCTTTCCTGTAGCGCTCTCTGCCATGGCCAGCCTTTCCAGAAATCTGTATGGTGAATCCCAGTAACTTCAATTTCAACACCTGTAATAAAAAAAAAAAAACAAATGTAAATGTTGTATAATCATATCTACGTCTATTTAAATTTCCTAAAAGTTCAGGTGAATGGTCTACAAGAACTGGAACAATAAAGAAAGAAAAGAGAAAAAAATAGAACTTATTTTGACAGATATGTACATTGTAGTATTCGAGGATTAGACGTGACTCTGTGCTTGTTCATGCATGGCAAAGTAGCAGAGTCACTTAAAGTGGACCGCTTAATATATCAGGACCCCTCACCTATCATACGTAGCAGCTTTAAACAAAACAAAAAAAACCCTAATTGGGAAATAAGTTAATAAATATATTTACCATTCCCCCAGCTTTTGTACTGCAGGAGGACATGTCAAGCCCCTTCTGACAACATCCTGGGAAATGCTAAAGAGCTCAAAACTTGTGAGATGTTGCTACAGGACTGTCTTTTAGCAATATTTGAGCTACTCTGTATTCCCTGGGATCACGTTAGAGGCAGCCTAATGACAACCTTACCTAGATGTCATTGGGAAAAGTCGGTATATTTAATAACTTCTCTACAAGTTTTGTAATTTAAAGCAGCTATTGATGATTGGGGAGGCAGCCCACACATATTAAGCTTTCTTATTGCAAGGTCGGCTTCAACTTCCCCTCTTCTTCAGCAGTATATGCTAATCTTTTCTTCACTTCCCTGCCTCTCTGTTCGGCTGTCCAGGAAAGACATCCCTGTGTAGGCACCAAGCCATCTTGAAGATGCTTTTCAAGTGCTGAGGACTCTTTCCCCGCCTTCAATTACAGCATCGGGCCAATCACTGGGTTCACATGTTCCTGTATACCTGAAAGTGCCAGGTATTTCTTTCTACTCCAAAAGCTAAATGGAGCAGTGAGGAAGCCAAGGAAAGATGACTCTATGCTGCTGGAGGGGAGATTGGGTGACAAACAAGGAAAGGTCATATGCTGCTATACAGGAGGAACATTTAGGAGGAAATATTTCTAATTCTTTTCCCTGCATGGGCAAACCAGGAGGTCACTTTAGAATTTATAAGAGATGTTTTAGGGAAGATCTGTCACTTAAGTGACTATTTAGTTAAGGACTAATGAGCTGAGTTTGGTCAAGTTCTGTAAAGTATATTTGTCCACATCCCATCACCACCAACAAAACACTAGCTGCAAAAACATTGTATGTGGATATGTTTACTTATGTACAAATGGGATCACTTCCATAGAACAATCACAGACAGCCAGAGAGCAAGATGCCATTCACAGTATATTTTAACATCCTCAAGATCACTACCATCCACATTTTACCGTTCAAAAATCTATATTACAGTGAAGCTGGGACAATAAAAAATTGGGAACTGCCATTGCTGAACTGGCTTGTTAGGTACAGGCCATGGGGGTGTTAGTGGAGTCTTGGCTAGAACAAGCATTAGGCTAAATTAAGTATGAAAAGTTTGAGCTTCTGCCTTGTAAACTTGTCTAACTACAGTGACTAGCTAGACTTAAAAAGTATTTCCACTTTTGCAGCCAAATAACACCTATTTTATGTTTCTTATATGTTTCAATTCACATGACATAATTAAAAAATATTTCACAATTGCTGTTTACCTTTTAAAGTGCTTTTTACTTGCTTAAAAATCCAAACTAGCTTATCACGTATGTAATGTTAAGGAGGAGGGGCTGTGGAAACTTATGTTTACTCTAATTAACCCTTCCTATACTGTGCTGGCAGATATTCACATTATCAGTCATTACCTAGATCTGGTCACTGTCTGCCCTAACAAAGGGTTAAAGACTTAGAAGTATTGTATTCTAATCATAATGATAAAAAGCTCAGTCTGTCCCTTTACTTTCGCTTTCAAACTGCTTAGAGTAGCCTGGAATCTGCACAAAGGCTTCCACCAAAGAAACATTTAAAAGGTAACATATTTAAAAAACAAATATTTTTAGGTATGTTGTGTGAATGGGAACACATAACAAATATATAGTTTGTCTACAAAAGTTGGAAATACACTTTAAAGACACAATTAGGATAACAACCCCGGCACCTGCACTACTAAAACCAAATGAAAGCTCTAATATTTGTATCCTTACAAGTATTCTTTGAGGTGGAGAATCTACATATGTTAGAATTTGTGCCTGAATGGCAGAATGAAATGCACTATTAAATGCATTAAGTAAATCAGCAGAAAGAAAGAGGTCAGGGTAGGAAGTAATCAAATCAAAGTTTGCAGACAAACAGAGGTCACATAAAGAACACACAAGAGAGAGCACATCCAGGGCAGAGATGAAAGCAAACTATACAACATTATGTTCTTGCTCTGTGCCAAAAGATACTTGTAACTGCGTACTAATTATTTATGTACAGGAAAACAAATAAATGTATGCTTGAAATAAAGAGGAACATTGGCTTCCATTTAATAAACTAGGGGGTGCCAGTTGACCTAGAGTGGAGTACACAAGGCCGAAAAACTTTATGTAGTTACGAAGACCCGCTTCTATAAATAATGGAAGTGCATGGTATGCAATACGCACCTGAGATCTCCAACCTTGTCACACAAGTAAAATAAAAATTCAAGTGCTATTAAGAACTACAAAAAACAAACAAATGCAGTGCCCTTGTCACTTCCTGTGAGCTAAACAGAAAGAATAAAACAATTGTATCTTCCTTCTGGAAACTACTAATTCTCCCACCCCTGTGTAATGATGATAAAGAGAGGAACACATATTTGAAGTCCAGCCTTGGTGGCAACCAAGGCTCCATGGATATAGTGGAGGAATGAGCGTAGCCACCCAGGCAAGGAAGTGTTATTTGCAAAATCACCATGTGAAAATAAAAGAGAAGAAAGCCCGAAAAAGGAAAACAAATGCAGCTGCCACATCTAAGTACTGATAAGATGCAAAATATTACATTTTTATATTTTGGTTTAGATACGCTTTATAGTTGCTTGCATTCTCATTGCAGTTGTTGTGCCCTGGAGGAAATAATACAATATTCCAAGTGATCCTAGGTGGAACTCTGGACATTATATTACAGAAAATACAGCAATATACAATGTGTCACTTTTGCATATAAATTGGTATTGCCAAGCTGGGACAACATTTTAAATGATTTTAAATAGGGCTGGTAATGATTAAAATTTTCGTGTTCGATTATTCGAAAAAAAATGTAATCGATTAATTTCGATTAATTATAACGCACATACAGATCCAAATACATTGGCCTACACACATACAGCACAGCAATGAAGTAATAAAATGAACTAGGATGACACTAATCCAGCACGTTATTAATCTCACGTGCCCCACTCAATATGGCCGCCGCTTGAGTGGGGCAACTCAAAATAATAACGCGCTGGATTAGTGTGATCCTAGTTCATTTTATTACTTCATTGCTGTGCTGTATGTGTATAGGCCAATGCCTTGGCTGGCGCTCGTGCAGAAAGTTTCTTGGGCAAACTCACCGGCTCCGTCGGCTAACGAAGGGGGGAGGAGTCCGATGACATCACGGACATCGACGTCACCGGACTCCTTCCCCCTTCCCTTCGTTAGCCGTCACGGACATCGACGTCACCCAACTCCTCCCCCCTTCGTTAGCCGACGGAGCCACTTGGGGAAGGGGGGAGGAGTCCGGTGATGTCGATGTCCGTGACGTCACCGGATCGCTGACGGGACTCCCGGGAAGCCGGCGGAGAGGTGAGTGTTTTCATTAGCGATCAAAATAATTGTAATCGATCAAAAAGTTTAACGATTAAGCGAGAAATGAATCTTTAATTTCCACAGCCCTAATTTTAAATGCATGTGTGAAATGTTTATTTGTGCAATAATCATTAAATAATTATTTTGTGTTTTTGAATATTAAACTGGGCAGGTTTAATGTCCTCTGTTGGGTGCATCTCCCTTTTGGGGGAATTAAGAGTTGTTGTTTTTTTTGGTCACTCTAAGTATGGAGTAGAAACCCACAGAGGCCCAATTGAAGTGATATTAAAGTCAAAAGGTTTTTAAGCTATTTCAAATGCTGATTAATTCACTTACAATGGTTGTTGTGCCTCAATGTGTAAAAGTTTTGCAGGGTTATTCACAAAAGGGGAAGAGTTTGGAGAAGGAAGGAGAAGAGAACAATCTAGGACAAAATAGCTGATTTTGAAAAATTCTCCAATTCAGCTCACTTTCCAGTTCAGCTTTGTTGTCATAGATTGTTAATTTTGCCTGCCTTCTCCAAACTCTTCACCCTTTTATGAATAACCCTGTTAGTTTTAGAATCAGCTGGTCCCCTGAGCACTGGCCCTAATATCCAGTTTTAGTTCCCTTGTTTTGTCCTATGGAGCCACCCTTGTGTGTGCTAGTAAGCTGTGTCTCCACAAACACACAGATACACCAAGGCAACTACTTCCCTCCTCTTCTTCCTTCTTTTCCCTTCTCCAAGCTAGTAGATGGAAATCTCCCGGAGACTGCTCTGTCCCTTGTGATCTTGTACTGGACAGGAAGTTCAGGGTAGCAGACCCGAAGAATTGAAGCTGTTTGGAAACATGATGACTGTAAGTGTTTAGGCAAAAATATGAAGAAATACTTTGTTGGGCGTTGTATATATGGTGTTGAGATTGAAAAAAAAAAAGATTGACAGGGTTATTTACTAAAGGGTGAAGAGTTTGGAGAAGGCAGGAGAAGTGAACAATCTAGGCCAAAATAGCTGATTTTGAAAGATTCTCTAATTCAGCTCATTTTCCAGATCTGCTATGTTGTCCTAGATTGTTCACTTCTCCTGCCTTCCCCAAACGCTTCACCCTTTTGTGAATAGCCCTGAGTGCTCAATACTACTTTAAGATTAGAAGGTCACCCATACTTTTGTGCTCCCTTATTTCTCTATTTAACTCTTTAAAGTACACCTGTTTCTTTGCCCTTCATGGCAAAGCAGAAGTTCTCTAACCTAGGCTGAATTATTCCAGCAAAAAAAAAGACACATTCGAAAAGCCAGAGAGCAAAGCATTTTTATACCAGGTGAACAAT